GGGGACGGTGAAGAACGGGCCGACTTACGAGAGAATCGCCAAAGGACTGACATTCCGCGGCCTCCCTCCCACGCCACTAGTTAAGTCACACACTTAGCTACAGATTTTGTTACTTGCTCATGCCCCCCCTTGCCCCGAAAAAGGCACATTCTGTATAAACAAAAGTAGGTAGGCGGCATTTTGCCGCACTCCATGATTTTGTTTTCATACTGCCAATGCTGAATAAAGACTGATTGGACTTTCCTCCAGATTTGCACAATTCCTATCTAAAAAGGGCTAGTGTCTGTACCCGCGTCTTTGTCTCTCATTACACTGGCAGTACCCCCTCCCTCTAATCATCAGATGTTTTTACCACACAGCGACAGGATTTGTATGAGCAACATATTTTGTGTACATGCAGAGACAACTTGTTTTGCTGAAGGTCTCTCAAAATCTTCTGCACTTGTTGGTTTGTTTATAATAGTTCGTATTCCTCTCCTGGGACACAGTGCTGCATGAAAAAGGCTGTATTAAAAGGCATTTAGAAACAAAGTTGGGCTGACATGGAGTAGTATAATAAACTGAGACAAGAGTTATACAGACAGACATATAGACAGACATAGCTTTAGGGAGGATAAAGTTTGGTATGAAGCTTACTTTTTGGTATAATGTTAGCAAGATGCTGTGCTGCCACAAATTACCAGTATAGTTTTGGAAATAATACCCTGTTCTTCTGTTTACACGTTTCTTATTTTACCAGCTCTTGAAGCCCTGCTGTAAATTATTATATTATTCGTGGGTGGCACGGTGGTGCAGTAGTTAACAATGTTGCCTCACAGCAAGAGGTTTTCAGGTTCAAATCTGCTGGCCTGTGCAGAGTTTGCACGTTCTCTCCATGCCAGCGTGGGTTATCCAAAGACTTGCAGGTTAGGTTAACTGGTGAGTTTTAAATTGCAAGTAGGTGTGGATTTGAACGTGAATGGTTGTCTGTTTCTATGTGTCTGCCCTGTGACAGTTTGGCGACCTGTCCAGGGTGTACCCCGCCTCTCACCCAGTGATAGCTGGGACAGGCTCCAGACTGCCCGTGTCCCTGTACAAGGATAAGCAATATTGTCAGTGTTTGCATCATGTCATTACAGATGGAATGCCTGTCAGGGTTATTGTAGGCAATAGGTTTTGTTCTTGACCTGGGATCCATCCTGCAAAACCAGTTTCCAAAAACAAAAAAAAAAATCTCTTTGAAGGCAGTGGCGCCCCCGAGGGAGGCCGTCACTGCTGTTTTTTAAGAGGTCATGATGCACTCCCTTTAAAAGCTGACAAAAATATGCCTCCGGAGTATGAAACGACACTGAAGACTGTGGTTGCAAAAAAAAAATTCTCAGAGAACAGATACAGGCTCAGTTTAATTAAGTTGAGTGTTTACGCCTTAGGCAGGGAGTAGGACACACTCTGCCCAGATGGCTCCTTTGCTCTTTGTTTAGATTCCTTGCTCTGTGTTGTTTCTTGTGAAGTTAAAGTAGGGTGACCATATTTTGATTTCCAAAAAAGAGGACATTCGGCCGGCCACATCATAGCCTACTTAAATGATACTCGCAGTTTACTCAAACATGCCTTATCATTTTAATATATTTAAAATTTATATGTATGGATAGAAAATTCAGTTATATTACAAAATAATATCTCTCAAAGACAGAAATTCAGATAGGCCCCAATAGGGACACATACACACACTAGAGTGTGGTGATCCGAGCCCAGCGGTACCCGACAGGTCGGGCCGGGTTTGGTCAAAAATGTAGCTATAAATTGTATTCGGGCTCGGGTCGGATTCGGTCAGCTTTCAGTGAAAATGTAATGTAAAAATAAATAAAATCCTATTGTCTGTCCTGTTTATTGCTTGGACACTATTATTTACGTGACAACACCTGAACATAACACACACAGACACACATTGGCTGTTTGTTTCTACCTCTCCCCTCGCTGGAAGTCCGCCTTGATTAAACGCTGAAAACAAAATAAATTATTTTGTTTTATTTCTTCCTCTCCTCTTGCTGGAAGCGTCGGACCTCCCGCCTCCCGCTCCCGTCTCAAACACACAGGTCTCCCTCTCCGCTGAGCACGCCCGGCCTGTTAAATAGCCTGTAACCGTAACAACTGTGTGACACAAACTCAGTGCTTTGGTCATTAAATAATGTCGGGCTCGGTTCGGGTTTGGACAGAAATATGCGGCCTGTGCCACACTCTAACACACACACACAAACACACGGAAAACCGGACATTATCATCAGTTTATAAAAACCCCCCAGACGCCCTGGATGGGATGTGAAAAGTGGACATGTCCGGGCAAAAGAGGACGTTTGGTCAGCCTAGTTAAAGTGATCAAAATCATCCACGGTATTACTGTTACACCTGTGTTTCTGAGGTCAACTTAGGTGTCAGGCCCTCATTTTTTAAGATAGCGCAAAGGTAAGGGTATATCAGGAAACTACACAAAGTAAGGTGGTTTGACCCACATGGGCATAGTTTGTCTATATAATGCTTCAAAGTTGGATTATATATTTTAGTGAGGGAACAACTGGCATTTCAAGGGGGTTCTTTAAACTCTCATCCCTAAATATCTGCATGAAAATGGGTTCTATGGGTGCCCACACAGTCTCCCCTAAGCTTGAGAAAGCTTGTTCCGAGTAAATGTTGTGTTCCTTACTGTTGATATACTCCTTCAAATTAAAGGTGTACATTTGTCTTTTTAAAGAAAAAAGAACTACCAGCCTATTTGAAGAACAATGAATTACCAACATGTGTATACAGATACATAACACATTAAAACAGGATTGCTGTAGGACTCACAACATTAACTGTACTGGTATTTCAAATAGGAGAGACAAGTGAATGATGCAAAGATAATTGTTTATTACAATACCAAGTGCATGGATCAACAGATGATGTGTGATGATTAAGACTTGACAGGAGACTTTGGCGCTTAGACTCCACAGGTGAGATTTTGTAATTGAGGGGCATCTGAGCAGCATCAAGATAAATCCCCCCCATGAAGTCCAGACACTGGTGGTGGTGGCTGTGGCAGTGATGGGAAGGTGAAGGGTGTGCCCAAATGCAGCACGACAAAAGTACAAGTAGAAAGAGACCATATTTAGAACAAAAAGCAGTTAGATGATAGGCTAACAGAGAGGGTGTGTCAATGTGCTATTGGTTAACTGTGATCGACTGATGTCTCAATTGACAGCCCCCATCAATGGCAGCAAGAAATTATGACTGAGCGTGCATGTGAGGAGTGAATGGTAGATGGTATGAGAAATAAATGAAAGGCCTGCAAAGCATGCAAAGTACTGACTGAACTTTGGCTAGGGCTTTATTACTCTGTGCACATCAGATCATTAGTAACTGTAAAACAAGAAACCAAAGCATAGCAGCATTAAAATCCTCAACTCTCATATTGACATATATGTTTCAACTAGCCTTTACACTACATCGGTCATGTTTTGTAGTGCAGGTCGCATGATTGGACCCAAATGCAGACAACAGATGAGCAAGCAGCCAGGCAAATTCAAAGGGCAGATTTAGAGTCCTAAAATCAGGAAAACAGGCAACAGAACTCCAAATAAAAACTGAACACAAAGAACAAAGGGCAAACAACGACAAATTACCGAGTGCTCACAGGTGAGAGGTAGTGGACTCCAGGTGAGTGCCAGGTGCTCTTGAAGTTGAAAATAGTCAATTATAGAGCCCAGAGCCAAGGATATTATAAAATGCCTTAATTAATAAAGGCATTTTATAATATCCTTGGCTCTGTCGGTGTGCCTGAAGCAAGCTTTGTTCTTTTTTGTTTTTCTACAAAGAACAAAGGAACTGGGATGGTTTAGGAAGGACACACATACTAAGGGAGTGACAACAGGTGAGCATGTGGTGAACAGACTGCAGGATTAGGGCATGATCACACATGAGCGAAATTAACTGCAGCAAATATTTGCCTAGAGTTCACTTCCTTTGAATGCAAGCAGAGGGACAAATAAAGTATTAACTTCTAGTGGCAGAGCAAATTCACATCGTGTGGAGTTTTGTGAACTTCAACTGGTGAGGACACAGCCTCAACCAAGAGCAAAAAAGTATGTGTGGAGGAGACACTGATTGCTGCTGTGTTTTATTGTTTTTCATGGCTAATATCATACAATATTGGCCACGGAAAACAAATTGCTTCACATGAGAGATGCTGCCTGGCTGACAGTGAGTCGGGAGACAGGCATGGGATGTAAGAAAATTGAAAATGTACCAATAACATCATAAACACAAGGGCAGGAAGTAAAGTGATCTGAAACAAGAGGAGATGTGAGTGACAAAACAAAACAGGGGAAAAACATGACCTCAAGAGGAGATCAGGGCAGATCAAGACAGTACACCCTGCCAAGCCCACCCCAGAAGGGGTCCAGATGTCCCACCAACACCAAGCAGGGTGAGTGGAGGGGATCCAGGGGAGTGATTCAGGTGTGAGTGATATAGGAACTGAAGATCAAAGAACAGGTTTTGGCTTTAGAATCTCATGGGACGCCAACACTGCTCTCTCGGGTGATGGTCAGTGTTTGTTGGACCCATCCACCACCCCTCCCACCCGCCCCACTCCGACATTTGCCGCCTCAACGTTTCCCCCTGACACCACCAGGCACTGTTATAGTGTAATGGCAACCGAATGCATATCACGCTGACGTTTAAGGACGCCTTTTTTTCATTAGTTTCTGACACTGCAAGTCACTGCCCAGTCACTGATTTCGATGACAACTGATTTCACTGGACAACAAAGTAATTTAAGGACCTGCAGGTAGGAGGGGTGGTGGATGGGTCCAGCAACACTGGACTTTCACCCAGGAGGTCAGTGTTCACTTCCAGTATGAATGTAGAGCCAAACCATGATGTTTTCTCCAAACCTAACCACATGCTTTGTTGTCTAAACCTAACCACATTTGTTTGTTGCACAATGAAATAAACGTAATTACAGAGTTTTACTGATGTTGCATGTTTATTTTTAAAAAGACTGTATGCATCTAATGAGCAAAAACAGTACACTTTGTGTGAAAACAGAAGACTGTTTTGAAAAGACGCAATGCATGCTACAGGCATAAATTGACATGGCACCCCAGAATGTCAATAACAGACGAACACAGGATACCTAGCACGTAATAAGTAGACATGAAAGTCCACTGAACAAGCAGCAATACGTGGCATGTTGGGAGTGTGAATGTGTTGGTAGGATGGACATTATGTAGACCTGAACAGGAAGCTAACGACCTGGAGGCTGATGGCTGGAGAGCAGAACTGCAGTCTGGTGGAACTGCGGAACCAGAAGACTGTTGCAGCGCAGTAGGGACTTGGGAGTGCTGCAGTTGGCAGGGATTGACTGACTGGGAGTGAGGAGCAGATGTCAACTGGACCGCTGACTGGTAAACAGGAAAAGACAGGATGTTGGCTGGAACACCTGCCTTGGAAACTGACGAGACAGGACACCCGATGTAGGAACACTCAGGAACTGACCTGGTGATGGCGGGAAATCCCAACGTAGGAACAGACGGGACATTAGCTGGGACTCCCAACACAGGAAGTGGTTTGACATCGGCTTTGAAGCTGGGCTGCAGAGGCTCTGGACTGCTGAACAGCTAAGGCGTCACCAGCTTGGAAGCACAATGGCTTACTGGCTGCTGGGGGCTGATAGACTTGGGAAACTCACGCTTTGTAGCCTCCTTACTATCCTCCATCAGGTGTTTAGCTAGGGCTGGATCTTCTTCATGCAGAGAGCCACAAAACATAATAATTAGCTTACCATCTGAGTCCATAGGGTGAAAAAATGGCTGAAATGCAGGAAGCTTAACAGAGACTTAGAAACAGGCAGTGGAGAAGTGTATACTGGGTCCATAATTGATCAGTTCCTACTGTGATGTTTTGGAGAGCAGGTAGCAGGATTGGACCCAAATGCAGACAACAGATAAGCAAGTAGCTGGACAAATTCAAATTCAAAGATTTATTCAAATAAAGACTTCCAGTCTAGAGTCCCAAAATTGGGTAGGCACAGGAAAACAGACACAAGGACTCAAATCAATAGATGAAGACAAACTGAAAAAGAACAGAGGAACTGGGCAGGTATCAGTCAGTAAACACTAATCAGGGGAGTGAGAACAGGTGAGCATGAGGAGAGTAGACTGCAGGACTAGTGAGGGACAGGTGAAAATAATGAGGATGAGGCAGACAATGAAAACTAGCAAGTTGACACAAGGCCTGAAAGTAAAGTGATCTTAAACGAGAGATGTGAGGAACAAAACAAAACAGGAAACACTAACTATGAATATATAATAAAAATCAAAGGGGAAAAAATGACCTCAAGAGGAGATCAGGGCAGATCATGACAACAAAAGCATAATTGAATCCCTGAAATTCAATTATGACTTGGTTTATGTGTACCACTCCAAGATTTTCAGTGGCCCCATCTGGCCATCCCTATAAAAAATTCTTGGGCATATTATGATAAAAGACTGATTGGGCTTTCCTGCAAATTTGCACAATTCCTATTTAAAAAGGGCTCATTTAAAATAGATAAGTAAATAAACACTGGACTACATAGTCAACCATTTCTTTATCTTTCCAGCCAACATATCAGATCTCCCACAGGCAATGGCACTCCTCAAAGCTACCTGTGATAAGTGCGATGGAAAAAAAGGGGGTTGCAACAGATTGAGCAAGAGAAAACTCACAGACCTGCTCCACAATGAGCAGAAAAGATGTGGTATTATTGCAACAGAAAGCTGTGAATGTCTGTTGGGTGTATTTTTGTGTTTTGACAATCTACTTACAGTTCCTACTGTTTGTCTCTATTTCGCCCACAAACCAAGCTGAAGCAGACAAATTCTTAAGCATGCTGAATGAAGATGGTAATGCTGTTGTTGACTTTGAGGACTATGTCACTTTTGTAGCTTACTATGATTTGCAGTTTAAAATAAATAATTTGCCCACAGTGCCTCAGAACTTTCAGAACTCTCACCTGTTTAATTGTGTACTAAATTTTCAAAAGTTTCACTGATTCTGAATGTGAGAAGTGACAAACTGACTCGTCAACTACAGCTGTGATATAAAAGTAGTGGTGAACAAAAGTAATAAAGTCTGTTAATAATACTTTAAATTGTAAACAGGTACAGTTGGGGAAAGCTACAGTGGGTGTTGTCAGTAAAGGACTTTCCAGCTCTTATGACAACATGGTTGTCAGGGTTGCCTGTCAGGTTTACTGCATGCAGGAGTTCTTTACAGTCCTGGGTCCGCCCTGCAAAACCAGCTGTGTGAGTTTGACTGATGAAGGAGCTGATACCCAAACTTATACTCAATATTTGCACCAAAATAAGTAAAGGAAACGTAGCAAATTTATTAAAAATAAAAAACTGAAATCTCTCATTTATTAAAGTATTCAGGTCCTTTGCTGCGGCACCCCAAATTGCGATCAGGAGCATCCTGTTTGCTTTAAATGTCCTGGTTATGTGTCTAGAACTTGATTGGAGTCCACCTGTTGCAAATTGAACCGATTGGACATAGTTTAGAGAGGCACACACCTGGGTACATAAGGTCCCACAATTCACACTGCATGTCAGGACAAAAACCAACCACTGAAGTCTAAAGGAACTCTCTGTAGACCTCCATGATAATGTTGTGGGGAGGCAAAGATCAGGGCAAGCGTATAAAACCATTGCTGAAGTTTTGAGTGTTCCAGGGAGAACACTGGCCTCAATTAGTGGTCTATGTGATACGTAGGAATACGCCATAAACCCACTAAGAAAGCTCCCAAATTTCCGTATTCTGTATATTTCTGTATATGCTTAAATATATTAGAAATATAAAGGACACGTAACACTGTGGTTTTGTGACAGAACTTTCACTTCAGCTATTTACTTTTGCGGTCGGTGAGGTCGGGTGATGGGAGCAAACTGAACAAACATTGCAGAACATGCAAAGATTCTCTATTTATGCTGGCTACACACCAGAGGATTTTCAAATCTTAACTGATTTTAAAAACACGAGAGACCACAGACATAAAGACAATTTCAACTGATTTTTAACATTTCAATCGCCTGAACACACACAGTAGACGATTCGGCTAGACCATGAGACCACACACCTGCCATTTGTAGTAACAACTTCGCAGCGGCTACTTTGTTAGCATTAGCATTTGTTAGCATTCATTCAGTCTACTGTTACACCCAACGCCTCCGCAATTTCGACCCATGCCTTTTCCTTATCCGTCCTGTTGTGGTATGTTTTACTCGACATATTATACAGGCACTCATGCTGTTGCCATAACTCGACGAGCATATCTTCTCTCTGGATACTCCAGTGACGTGTTCGGTTCCTCTTCGCTGCCATGTTTGTTGTGACTGTGAGCTCTCCACGACCATCCGGGGATGACGCGTCCCGGTCTGCTCGCTCTCATTGGCTGTTGTGGGTATTCAGTCGGAGGCGGCTCGATCAAGCGTCGTAAATATCAAACACGATTCGAGATCGGGCAGGCTCCGATTCGACCGGGAGCAGTGAAATAATCGTATTGACACCACACACTTGAAAATTATTTAGTCAAACAGTCGGTTGAGACAAGCCTCTATTCGGCCACGCCCCCTTGAAAGGGAATCGGGCATTAAATCTGGCTTTTTATCCTCTAGTGTGTGGCCAGCATTACCCTGACCCCACCCCACTGAGCTTAGTGTGTGCATTGAACAGAAGAAACAGAGACACGGTGATGGTGTATGCGCCGAGAACAGCCAGGTGTAGGCCATCAGAGCAGAGGGGAAATTAACAGTAAAGCTGTCAAGTAGTAGTAAATGTTGGTTTGACCATGGATAAACACTCAACTGACAACAGGAACTAGTAGATTCCAGTGTTGTCATTTTGACATTGCTGGGGAAAAAAAGAAAAAGAAAGACAATGGTGGCTTGGAACGAGGGTATGTCAACCTGTAATTAAAAAGGATTGTGTCTGTCTCTATTCAAATCCCTCTCTGCTACCATTTCAACCTCTCAGCCTCTTTCAAAGTTATCATATAGTTTGAGTAAGAAAAAATATGCTTTTGAAACCCTTTCTTAAATGCAGCAGTAACTACTTTGTATTTCATACCTGACCTGAAGCAACATGTGGCATGAAGTGCACAAGTGAGCTCCTGTGTGTGGTTTGTGTACTGTGTGGCGCTCTACATTACCTCACCAATCTATGACAACTGTGTCATTGGTGGGAATTCAGTAGATAAAAGCAACTAAGGATTCTGGGGCAAAACGTTAGTGACTGAGGAGAAAAAACAGTCAGTACAGTTATTGGGAAAGCAGCGTTTAGATGCTTTAAGAGGCTTGCCTGTGATAAACGAGGACATGTGTTGGGCAGTAACATTCCTGACTTTAACAAGCTGATCCAACTCCTCCCAGTGTTTCAAAGCAGTAGAGTAGAGTTTCTTGTAGCTTGAAGCATTGCCACAATACCTCATTACCACAGCCATGTAAAATATGTAAAAATAAATAAATAAACACTGGAATACAGAGTCAGTATTGTGTTCTCGTCCCAGCTGACATGGGAAGGCTTACACAGGCAATGGAGCTCGTCAAGGCTACATTTGAAGAGTACGCTAGAAAAGAAGACAGCACTTTGACCATGATGGAATTTGTTAACCTGCTCTGCAAATAATACCCTCTACTGCACACACTTTGATTTACTGTTGGGCCATGTTTATATTCCAGTCCTGCCTTCAAATCATGCTTCATAGTTGCTCCCACAGCTTATTGGACTGAAATTTGAAACGCTGTGCTGTAGAGGGTTTAAAAAGGTTTGTGTCCATGCTCCCTTTACAAATCCCTCTCTGCCTCCATCTCAACCTTTCAACCTCCTGAACTGTCATACAATTTTGGTAAGTGGAAATATGTTTTATCCTTTTTAAAAATGCAGCATGAACCATTTTACATGGTGTGGGTTAAAATGAAAAAGAAAGTGACAAACACATAAGCCGTGAGCCTGCTCCGCCTCAAGCCGGTTGCGGCGCACCATACGCCCGCCGCAAACCGTTCAGCACTGCGGACAGTCGGACTAATGAGATGTCGAACCAATGGGCTGTCGAACCAATGACATGGACCCCCGTTCCGCGTCGTGTTTAGCCAAACACAGAGAGCCCATAAAGAGGCCCGTGGCTGAAAAATACGTCAGTAATTGCGAGCTGATTAAAAGATGCAAAAAATGCAACATGCGCTACAGCGCTATGAACAGTAACGGTAAACAACACGCGTGTCCAAAAGTCAAATGTAAAATCTGCGGAGTAACCGTAGAAAAAGNAAAGGGGGTTGCAACAGATTGAGCAAGAGAAAACTCACAGACCTGCTCCACAATGAGCAGAAAAGATGTGGTATTATTGCAACAGAAAGCTGTGAATGTCTGTTGGGTGTATTTTTGTGTTTTGACAATCTACTTACAGTTCCTACTGTTTGTCTCTATTTCGCCCACAAACCAAGCTGAAGCAGACAAATTCTTAAGCATGCTGAATGAAGATGGTAATGCTGTTGTTGACTTTGAGGACTATGTCACTTTTGTAGCTTACTATGATTTGCAGTTTAAAATAAATAATTTGCCCACAGTGCCTCAGAACTTTCAGAACTCTCACCTGTTTAATTGTGTACTAAATTTTCAAAAGTTTCACTGATTCTGAATGTGAGAAGTGACAAACTGACTCGTCAACTACAGCTGTGATATAAAAGTAGTGGTGAACAAAAGTAATAAAGTCTGTTAATAATACTTTAAATTGTAAACAGGTACAGTTGGGGAAAGCTACAGTGGGTGTTGTCAGTAAAGGACTTTCCAGCTCTTATGACAACATGGTTGTCAGGGTTGCCTGTCAGGTTTACTGCATGCAGGAGTTCTTTACAGTCCTGGGTCCGCCCTGCAAAACCAGCTGTGTGAGTTTGACTGATGAAGGAGCTGATACCCAAACTTATACTCAATATTTGCACCAAAATAAGTAAAGGAAACGTAGCAAATTTATTAAAAATAAAAAACTGAAATCTCTCATTTATTAAA